AATATCAAATTGAGATGAGACAAAAAGGGTTGATTAGAGGACTTCTCAAGCTTTCTAAAAAGTCCAATAACACCCTCATAAGGTTAAAATTGAGAGAGATGTGCATTGTCAAAGTTGGATAATTTTTGAAAAAATGCACAAAGCAAATATTGACCAAACTTGGATTTTTTTTCCAAATGGGCCTATCTTTTCAAGTTTGAAACTCATTCCTAACATGGTCCACGACCTCTAAGCCCACCCATACATTTTTCTACTATTTATGCTATTTATTTTGATATTTTATTCATTAAAATTCAAAATTAAATAAATAAATAAATAATGGAAATAATGTAAATTTTGATGTGAATCCATTTTGGGAAAGTTTTATGCTAGTTTATGTCAATTGATTTCGTGAAATAACTTTTCAAATATGTCCAGGTTCATCCACATGTGAAAATGGCATAAAATCATCAAATATGGCTTCTTTTTTTTAAATCTTGATCATGGTCTTAAAACACAACATTATGAGGGAGATTCTTTCCATGCTTTCTTGTCTCCTCATTCTCCTCTATAAATATAGAGCCATACAAGCTTGAAAGGGACGAAAATCCTCTCTAAAAAGCTCTCAAAAAGCTCTCTAAAAGCTCTCCAGAAATCAAAGAATTAGTGCAAGTCATATCTCGAGGTTCCAGTCTCTCTCAATTGACATCAAGCCTCAAACCATCCTCTTGAAGTCCTCAAGAGTCTTACAAGGCCCAAGAGCAATCCATCACACGCCTAGCACGCCCCCCATTTGACAACACCCGTTTGAACAGTTATGGATGGTTGAATCATAGGTTCCATGCAAGAATAAAAAAACACCATAGTTAGAGCATGAAGCTTTCGAAGATTCGGGCCTAGGGATTTCTGATGATTGCACCCCCTGTTTACTTTTGCTACTAGGCCCATCATTATTTTCATGTTTTATTCGTTTTATTTATTTCTTTTAGTCCCTTTTATTTTTTTATCAATAAACAAATATAAAAATCACATAAAAATAGATTTAGGATTTTTTTCTTAATTAAATTTTAATTTTAGGTAAAACGTTAATTTCTTTTTGTAAATAACTTAAAAATAATTAGAATAAATAGGTTTTATTACTAACTTAATTATATTTTATTTTTTCCTAAAATAACCAAAGAAACCAAAATAGGTCATGTAATTATTTTTATTAATTAATTTAATTAACTAATTAATTGCATATTTAATTTAGAAAACTTATTTCTTTTATTAAAAACAACAAAAAAACAAATTTTCTTTTAATTAGGTTAGAAGGGTCAAAACCTTAAATTCTCGTCGATCTTAATTCTTCTCGCGCGCTTTATTTTTATTATTTACCATATTGATGTAACTGCCTACAGTTTGTAATAGTTTAATTAGGACGTTTATTTACATTTATCGCTTTATTTTCAAAGGGTTTGTTTTTGGCTATGTAAATACCCGAAGCCTTGTAATAGCGTAGTTTAAATTCCGCACTTTAAATTCCGTAAATTATTAACTGTTAGATGTATGATATAGGGATGCATGACAAGAATGTATGATTAATTTTAAAACAGTTAGATCACCCTAAATGTGCAAAGATAAATAAACTGAAATTGAATCATTCGCACATGCGCACTCCTAGGGTACACTCCCACTTGGTTGCCTTCGGTAAATGGTCATTGAGTATAGGATGCTTTAGTGGTCGTCCTTTTGTCTAAACAAAGATCAAAGTCCTGATTCAGAAAAGTTGCCTCGGAATGGTTGTCTTGGAATTGTTGCCTCGAATAATTGATCTAAGACATTAGGGTTATTACTAAGACGTCCTAACATTGCTTTAGTGATCGTGCGTCCCTTTTGAATTGACCATCAAACTCCAACGATGGTGCTACCTACTCACTAATAGTGGGATAGCATTGTCTAAAGGAAACGAATACAGAACGATTCTTTTTTCGAGTAGGTAGATTAGTTCTTAAGTACTTGCTCATTCCAAACAAATTTTTCACACTTACACTCCTTTATAAACAAAGTTTTCAAAAACACTTCATTACACTCTTGAAGACAGAAGCAAGAGTTAAATCGAAGTTAAAACAAAAACTTTTCAAAGCGCACAAACACAAAGAAAACAATTTTGAAAATGATGAGCAAGTACCTAAGAGCCCGTAGATAACTACAGATAAAAAGGGTGCTAATATCTTCCCTTTCTATAAATCTACCCCTCGTACTCAGAAATATCTCGAAAAATGAATTTTTTTTGTGCTTTTTTCCTTTCCTTGTTGGATAAAATAAAAGACGATGGTGACTCTTGCTTACCGCGACATTTTGCAAACACAAACGCAAAACGCAAACCAGCAAAATTTCCTTAACGAAATAGGGAAACCACGTCCCGGTTCTGGCCACCGTATCACATGTGACATTCGATCCTCGCCTCTTATGGGACGATCTAAAGGCACCCTAGGCGAGACTCTTTACAATTATAACACTACAAATAGTTCAACATTTTTTCATGATAATACAGAAAAAGTAATTGATTTGTGAGGTCTTTGACAAAGAAAATACAAGAAAAAAGTGGTAGATTGGTACAAAATGAGAGAGATAGATGCCACAAAGTCAACACACAAAGTCTCATTTTTTTTTGTTTTGCTACCTTTGACATTTGCACCTCCTTTACTCAATTCTTTGACTCAATGGTAAATTGGCCCACACTAAGACATGGACTCAATTTAATAGGAAAAAAATCAAAGACTAAATGGACTTTGCTAATGAACCTCACACTTGAATTTTTGTAGATAAATCTGAATCATAATCAAAATAAAAACCAATAATACACTATTTGTTATTTTTTTAATAAAGTAACAATAATATTTACGACATATAATCTAATCCCCCTTTTTTTGGAAAAAAATTAAATTGGCCAGTCAAAATTGGGGTACTACATCCTCACCATCTTCTATAGAAGATATGTCACTATTTGCCTTAGTAGAAGCACTAAGGGGTTCATCACCACTATCAAACCCTCGTCAGATTGGGGTTAGGACAGTTAACCTATAGGGAATAATCATTTGGGACATATGAATTGTCATATATTATTGATAATGGAGAATCTCAACCATCGAATTCATTCGTCATGTTCTCTAGAATATTTTCTATATTTATCATAGTAAGGAGAAGAAAACAAAGCAGCAAATGTAAGAAAATGCACTAGAAATTATACATGAGTAAAGAATCAAAACAAATAAATGATTTGAAGCTAGAGAAACTAAAAAATAAGGATGAATCAAGAACAATGACTGTAATAGAAATGACAGGTAGCAAAATCAGATATCACTTGAACTTAGTAAGAATAAGAAAGGGTTTGCGAGGAAACGCTAGTCTCAATTGGGAAAGAGTGCAAAAATTGTTTAAAAGGCCAAGACAATATTTATATAATGACGCATGATGGATGAAACAACAATGTAGAATAAAAAATTGGGAAGATGAAAAACAAAATTTTACCTCAAAAGTATAATGACACTTGAGTACACTTGAACACCGTAGAAGAAAAATGTCACACCCTAACCTACGAACCCAGAGCTACGTGTGAAGCAAAACCTACTAAACGTCTCAATAATAAGACTACATTTAATGCAATTGTTGTTAAATCTCTTCCACTTCTCAACACAAGATCCCAACTAAGGATACTCGACCCAATTCCTTAAAAGACTTCCGAAACATCACGCCACGATAAGCCTTTAAGACAATTGTTCTGGACTGACCACTAATCTAATACTACATAGGTCAAATTGTCACCTATTATATATTATAAACCACTAAGTGAGCTGTAAAAGTATATGATTCTATGCATAACTTACTCTATCTCATGCTCACTCACTCACTAATTTGAATATTGAAATGTTAATCTTATAGGTCTATCATGGACAACACCATCCAAACAACATGCATTAGTACATCAAAGATCTACATCAACAATACTAATTCTCCACTAGAATACAATTGTTTTTTATTTAATTAAGCTTCATTCACCTATAAAATATTCAGTCGATCCCACTTAGGAATGATATTTTAGTGCTTCAAAATAAAAACCTTCACTATCCATCATTAAGTATCACAAGCAATATGCTTTTGAAGGAACCAAAATCTGAGTGAACTATGAATAATTAATAGTAAATGAAGTTAGTAGTAATTAATTAGAGTGTAATGTTCATGACGTTCCAAAGTGACAAACCATACATTTTTAATACCAACAAGAACAAAGTGTTGTTAACTCATCCCTTCGTACAATACAAACAAAAGAAAATCACATGGTTTGAATTTTCTAACAAAGCTCCACAATGGCATATTCTTTAAATAAACAAAAGTCAAGGGGCATATTAGTAACCAAATTTAGTTTAAAATCCCATATAAGTTTCATATCGATCCAATCACAAAAAGCACTTAGCATCTCAAAATGTCTAGCCCTTCTCATTTCAATGTCTCAAAGTCTTCTTCATCTTCAGCTCTTGCCTCAACGAAGATCAAAAAACATATCCACACTCTCATAGTTTCTAGCATGTGCCGTATGCTTCGTGCACTATCCAAAGTCAAATCTACTTTAATTCACACTCTTAGAGACAAAAAACCCAATATTAACTTCCCTTATCCTTCAAATAAAAAACATTGCAACAAGAGAAAAAAGATTATCATGGGCTCATTTAGGCTTCGCTATAATTGGTCTTCAAGATCTAATTCTCATGTTATGCCGGTTCCATCTCGAGTTTATGAAGGTTTGCCTAAAGCTTTTACTTTAGGCGAGCAACCTCAAAGTCGAGACAATAATTCTGGTTTTTGTCCTGACTCTGAGCTTGCAGGGTATTTGCAGTGGCTTGAGGAGGGTAATGATATTGATGGTGATGAAAATAAGAGGAATGAAAAGGATGAAGGGATTATTAAGGATGTTGATAGGTTGGCAGAAATGTTCATTGCAAATTGTCATGAAAAATTCAAGGTTGAAATGGAGGAGTCTTGTAGGAGGTATCAAGAAATGTTGGCAAGGAGTTTGTGATGAAAAAGTTATACTTAAAAGTCACTTGTTAGTTACCAAATAGGGTAAGACTTATTATATAGTCATATATGTCATTTGGATGTATCTATATGTACATTAAAGTCTAGCTTCATGTCTGTCTTTTACTTTTTTCATTTCAAAAGATGAAAATGGAGGGGAGGGGATTGAACAACGCTATAGGATGGGATGGATGTGAAATTGTGCAATATTTTTGTTCATAATTAATGTTGCTTTAAGTGTTGTACAATAATGAATATGCTCTTTCCGATTAACTCTTTTATTTTGATGTGTTAAACTTTATTATTATTTGATATTTATAACTGTAAAATATTTCTCACTTTTACATTTCGATTTTATAAAATAAGTTGAAAGTGTTTGATTTGATTACTGATTGAAGGACAGTAAATTTTAATTACGAAAAAACTCAATTGAACGCTAAAATTTTAATAATTTATAGCGCTCACCATAATCAAATATAATTGAATGATCGTGTGGCATCAGATCACTTATAAATGTCACTTGCTATTTGCTCTACATCATTTCATATATTATCTTATTCTCACACTCAAATTACTCTTTTACTAATTCATTGACAGACATTGAAATTTTACTCTTTTACTAGTTAATTGACTTAGACATTGAAATTTTAGCCTTAGATATTTACTTCCTCTCCATCTTATGCACTCTACATTCAGAGCTCAAGTCCGTCATTTAAATATTTTTGGTTCCATGGAATAGGAATTAACCTAAATTTTAAAATAAATTGTTGATTAATACTATTATAATCTATTTGAAGTAGACTTATCAATTAGGAGCAGACTAATCACATGTGTTAGATACTTATCGTATTTCTACATTATTAATCAATTTGACATCCTTATTAATTATTATATTAAATCAGACTAAAAGAAACAATTTTTCTTATTATTCTGCATTTTATGTAAATTTTTAATGTCATTATTATCATCAGAAAACCAACCTTATTTATACGAAGTTATGCCTAAGTAATATATATTATATTGTACAATTAGTTAAGAGAAACTTTTATCAAGTGATCAATCAAACAATCATAGTCTTGTATTCTTAATAGTTTTAGTCCGTGTTTTAAAATCGGGATCATTTTGATCAGTCAGATCAATTAGACTGTTGTAAATTGGAAGGTAAAACGGTTTGAGAATATTATCGAATTATAATTGTAATTGACTTGATTAAAATTAGTATGATTTAAATAGTTAATTGGTCAGATTAATGAAAGGTTAGTTTTTTTAATTCGACAGATTAAGCATTTTATATTTATTTTTTAATATAAATAGTTGAGAGAATAGATTCACTTCATCTCATTCAAATTTTGTTGAGTTACTGGTGTGAATTTTAAAACTATGTGAATTTTAAAACTACAATTTTAGCGTTGTTTTTTGCTACATAAATGTGAAAACCCCAGTAAAAATCACTTTCAACCGGTGAAATTCGTAAATTTTTATGTTTTTATTTTTACTTGACAAATCTAATCTTTATTTAAATTAATTGTTTAGGTGCATCCTACGGGTGCTGAAGCCCCCGCAAAAATAAAAACAATTACTGATAAATATTTTTAATATTTAAATTTGTTATATAAAAAGTTAAGAATTTAATTGAAATTAAAGTGTAAAGAAATTTTACACCGTCAATAAATTATAATTATTAAATTTTTGTAAATATTTGACATTTTCTATAATTATATATAAAATATTACTTCTGAATAATTGTGATACACTGATTATATAAAATATGTTACACTAACAATATATAATAATTAATCTAAAAAAATTAATTATATTTTATAAATTAATTTTTCAAGAAATAAATATAAAAATTTACGTAAGAGATAAAGTAAAATATATTAATGTAAATTTTAATCATTGATTCTTTTAGTTTCTATCATTTATTTAGCAATACAATATTATATTAAGAAAAACATTCTTCTACATATAGATTATTTTTTGAAATTTTCAAATATTTTTTAAAAAAATATAAATATAAATTAATATTATAGACAATGTTTCCAAATATTTACAGATGATTGTTTGCGTCAAAACTGAACGATATTTGTTCTGGGTTGGGTCTAAACTTGACTCAAATATTATACAAGGCTCAATCCACCTATGCTGCAAGAGAAAACCAACAGGAGAGAGTCTGCCCATGACAATATTGGACAGCGATTCTACTCCTCTCGTCGATCAGGATATGTTTTTCAGGGACAACCTCATGTCTGGCAAGGAAGACCAACGACACTCATGAGGTCCTCGCGAGCACCCTCATCGTAGGGCAGACACCTAACGCCCTCGGATATCATGAAATCCTCTTAACTCCGAAAAGACCGTATCCACGTCCTTCTGATAATTGGAGGAGTCCATTCATGTTGGGGACCACGTGTTGGCCTCCATTACACACGTAAGACCTGATAGTCTCCATTTTGGGTCTGCTTGGTTAGCCCAACAATGGGGACCTTGACCCAACACTGGGGGATATAAATATCCTCTCACTTGAGAGGGTCAGGTATTCATTCATTCATTCTCACACATACTCTCACACTTACTTGCACTTACTATGAACCTTACTTTGACATCAGAGTGTCTTGAACGTACGTCCTCCCACTTCACATTCAACCACTGCTCGACTTGAAGCTCGTGGGCCTTGACAATTCCTTCTGATCAAGTATAATAAGTGGTGTCGTCTGTGGGAATCCAGTTTCCCCATCTTCCACTTAAGACCAAAGCAACTATGTATCAACCTTCTGATTGTCATGGCCGACCAAGCTGTCAATGATAACCAAAACGTCCACTTCACCGATGCCAATAACAGCGACATTAGCGACAACAACGCGGGCAATAAAAACGACGTGGCTGGTCCCGAACAAAATCACAGAGACGGACTAACCGGCTCTTCATCCACCCGCTCGCAACCACGCGATGACGACTACCATCCTCCATAGAATTATGAACCCAATACATATCAGGAGATCCCCGTTGCTGCAGGTGCTGACGCCACGACCAGAGCCTTGTTCGTGGAAATTATACAAACAAATTACATGATCTTCTCACAAGGTGAGCGACTGATGATGCTCGAGCAGACTCGTCGGGCTACCAGAAAGCACAGAAGACCTGATTCTCGAACTCCTCCTCCCCGACGGAACAAGTAACTCCCCCGATCTCCCCTACAAAGACATAGACGGGACAACTCTCGAAGCCCCCTCTCCCCGCTGAACTAGGCAAGGCCCTGCATTGGAGAGGAGCCAGCCAGAAGCTATTAGGAAGCGCGATCACACACCCTCACGCAAGGAGCGACGATCCCCTAAACATAAAGGAAATATGGGGAGCAAAGAAAAGCAGTCTCGGCCAAGGGACCCTCTTATGGCCAGGGTCGACAACGACCGCCGCTATAATCGGTGCCTTGCTCGCTCTCCAGAAAGATGCGACGAAGACGACCCTCGTGGTCCACTATCCCAATCCATCATGGAGGCTCCCATTCCTAAAGGAACGGAGAAGCCCCTATTGAAAGAGTACGAAAGTATTGCTGATCCTGTCGACCACATCGACGGGTTTGAAGCGATGCTCCACTACCACAACATCGGGGGCCCAATTAAATGCAAGTTGTTCCCCACGACGCTGAGGAAAACAACCATGGATTGATATAAGAAATTATCCCTTGGGTCGATCATTTCATGGAGAAGCTTCAAAACCCAGTTCATCAGCAGTTTCACTACGTCTCGGCGACATCCGAAGACTGAAGTCGCCCTCGAGGAAATCGTGCAGAGAAGCAACGAGACCCTCAGGGAGTACATTGATCGGTTCAACCGCAAGGCCATTTAGGTCCCATGCGTCGACCACGTGAAAAGATATATGCTTGAGAGGGGACTTCTCATGGGCACTGAATTTAGAAAGACTGTCAACATTGAACCCCCCAGGTGTTTTCACGCTTTCCTCGAAAAAGCTCGGGCATACATGAACTACGAGGAGAAAGAGGCAGCCAACAGAGCCCAAAATTCAAGGAACCACATACCATCTAACATCCCAAGACACCATGATGTAGGCCCTTTTCGCAGACTGGAGAGAAGAGAAGGGAGGAGAAACCTCGTGAGCCCCGCGAGCACAGAGGACCAGTCGGACGGTTTATCGAGTACACCCCGCTATCGCTTCTCGCGAGCGTATCCTTGCAGATTGCTCTAATACTGAGTTCAAGGAGGGAGGTATCGGGCGTCCTCGACCCGCCCCTACAAAGCCCGGGGCCAACAGAACAAAATATTGTCAATACCACCAGAGCCACGATCACTTAATTGAAGACTACGTCCACCTTAAGGATGCCATCGAGACTCTCATCAAGGCAGGGAGACTCGGGAAATACAGGAAAAATGAAACCCTCCATAGGATACCTGCGAGGTTAAAGAAATCGAGGAGGATACCTAACCATCTGATGAATCGAGTCCCCTACAGGTGGTAGCCTTCTCTGTCTCAAGGCTCAAGGACTTCCATATCCCCGACAGCTTTGAAGATGAAGAATCCTTGTTCACCCACAGGAGATGGGGGAAGTTCCCCTCTGCCATGGTCATATTTGGCGAGGGATTCAACGACATCTTGATAAATTCACCAAAGAGAAAACTCAACAAGCTGGTAGATGCAACCCCGACCTAGGTAGTAACCCTTGAAAGGTTCAAGGGAAAAGCTGAGTCGATCACCTTCTATCTCAAGGAGCTGCCCAGCGGAGCCCCAAAATCTAGTATTCCTCTGTTGGTGAGGGTAGGGATGGCCAACTTTGATGTACATCGCATCTTGGTCGACGAGGGGAGTTTCATCGACGTCATGTACACTCGTCTGTTCCGCACCCTGCAGCTCGATGATATCCACCTATAACCATACGTGGGGTCTGACCTGCAAGGATTTAACGGTTTGACCTCCAAGTCATGAGGCTATGTCGAGCTCTTTGTCACATTCGGGGAAGAAACTGCATCTCGACAGGTCAAAGTG